CCCTATTCCCTCTCCCTTCCTTACCCTTCCATCCTCCTCCTCATTTTCATTCTCCCCCATTCACTCATCTGCCTATACTGTTACCCTCTTTGTTACCCACTGTTACTCACTTTGCACTTCCCCCAATCCCATTGCTCACTGTACACTCATTTCCCATCTCATACACCACCCTAATGTTTCCCACTACTCTGCCCCCGCAACAGCCTCCTCCCATATTCTAATCCCTCCTCCCCTACAGCACTCCTTCCCCCCCATTCACTCCTCTCCCCACTTCTTCCTCTCCCTAATCCCCCTTCCTGATTCCTCTGCCCTTCCTCCCCCAACCATCTCAATTTTTTACCCTCCTCCCCAACCTCACTCCCCACCCCCCGTCCCCCTGCACTCACTATCCCCATCATTCATGTTCCCCTGCCCCTTGCCCCCTCCACCACTTGCAGCCGCTCCCAATGCTTCCCCTACCACTCGCTCCCCTGCCCCATTCTCCACCCTCACTTACCCTAAGCGCACTCCCCTACCACTTGAAACCCCTGCTCCATGCTTCCTGCTCCACTCGCCCTTCCTGCCATGCCCCCTCCCCTGTCCTCTTCCCCCCACCTGTCCTCTTTCCCCCCTTCTTCCACCCCCCCTCACCCTTCTTCCACACCCCCCTCACTCTTCTTCCTCCTCCCCCGCCCTCACTCTTCCTCCTCCCCCGCCCTTCTCCTCCAACTTCACCTTTCCCCCCTCCCGCCTTTCACTCACCCTCTCCCCGGATCCAGGAGGGAGGGAGGGAATGTGGGTTCTGCCCCGCCCCGATCCCTGGGGATGCTGCTGGATCCAGGCGGCACTGAGCTTAGGGCTTTTCCGTTACCGAGCAACTGGGCGCGCTCACTATCTCCATGGTAACTGTGGCCTTTGGGGTTTCGGGGTGAGGAGGAGGCCTCAGGCCCGGGTTGCAGCTGGAATTAAAATCAAGTCAAAACAAGAGATCGTTCCTGCCATAAACATCCTGAAGAAACCTTTCCTTCTGAGCCACACAGGTGCTAAGATTCATTCATCTCTGTAGATCAGACTGTATTTGTTAATAACAGAAATTTAGTCATTGCTGTCTGAAATACATTTCTCTTTGCATCTGCAAATATAACCTTAAACTGTTTGCATCTCATCTTAACTGCAGGTTTGCTATTTATGTGAAGATAACTAGGGAAAAAAACGTGGGGTTTTACTGTGATGGTGAAATAGTGTTATCTTAATTTGTAATTTGATTTCAGTAAAAATGCCATATGTCAACATACAAAATTTCAAGCACAGAAGTGAGTCATTTAGTTTATCTAGTCCATGTTGGTGTTTTTGTTCCACACCAGTATCCTTGTACTTTATGTACCATCTCCTTTTTATAGAGTCGTACAGCACGGAAACAGATCCTTCAGTCCAATTCAACCACGCCAACCAAACTAAACTAGGCCCATTTGCCAGTGCTTGGCCCATATCACTCTAAAACTTTCCTATTATTGTACCTATCCAAAGGTTTTTTAAATGTTGTAACTAGCTGCCTCTACCACTTCCTCTCACAGTTCATTCTACATATGAACCACCCTCTGTGTGGAAAAAGTTGTCCCTCAGGTCCCTTTTAAATCTTTCCCCTCTCACTTTCAACACATCCAGTTCTGGTCACCTGTTACAGGAAGGATATTATTAAGCTGGAGAGGGTTCAGAAGAGGTTTACCAGGATGTTGCTGGGAATGGAGGGTTTGATTTATAAGGAGAGGCTGCATAGGCTGGGACCTTTTTTCATTGGAGTGTAGGAGTTTGAACTTCCTGACAGAAGTTTATAAAATCATGAGGGCTATAGAAAGGTGAATGACAGGTGTTTCTTTCCTGGGGGCGGGGATGGATTTCAAGATTTCGGGACATATTTTTAATGTGAGAAGAAGACAAAGATTTGAAAAAGACATGACGGGCAACTTTTTTTACACAGAGAGTGGTTTGTGTGTGGAATGAACTTCCAGAGGAAGTGGTGGATGTGGGTGCAGTTACAGCATTTAAAAAACATTTAGATAAGTGCATGAAAAAGAAATGTTTGGAGGTATATGGGCCAAGTGCAGGCAGGTGGGACTAGTTTAGTTTGGGATTATAGTCGGAATGGACTGGTTGGACCGAAGGGCCTGTTTCCATGTTGTATGACTCTCTGACTCTGCCCTCTAGTTTAGAACTCTCCTACCCAAGGGGAAAAGATCTTTGCTATTCACCTTCTCTCCGCTTCTCATAATTTTATAAACCTAAATAAGGTCACCCCTCAACCTCTTTCGCTTCAGTCCCAGTCTATCCAGCAGCTCCTTATAACTCAAACTCCTCTGGTCCCTGTAACATCCTTGTAAGTCTTTTCTGTACCTTTTCCAGTTGAGTAATATCCTCCTTTTATGGTATGCAGATTCCTCTTAATGCAACTACCTATCATTAGTCACCTGAACTGCTACTTGCAGTATCAACAGAATTGCTATGGTGTAGAAGGAGGCCCTTCGATCCATCAAGTTTGCACCAGTTCTGAACATTTTGGATTGGTGCCATACTTCTGCTTTTCTTACTATATAGCCCTGAACATTGTTTCTATTTTTAAATAATCATTTCAATGTCTTCTCGAATGCTTCAATCGAACCTGCCCTGAGCCACTTGGTGTGTGAAAAGGCTTATTTTGTAAAGCACTCTGAAACTGTGCCCTCTGGAGGACAGGCAGGGACAGTTTCTCCCTACCCTGTTCATACCCCTCATGATTTTGAAACTTGTATCAAATTTCCCCTCTGTCTTCTGTCCAAGGAAAACAGTCCCAGCCCTTCCTCCATGGAAGATTCTCATCCCTGAAACCATTTTTGTAAATCTCTTCAGCACTCTCTCAAAAGCATTCACATCCAGAGGGGTGTGCCCAGAGCTGTATGCCGTACTCCAATTGAGATTATAACTATATAATTTCAGCATAACCTGCCTACCCATCAGTGAGCTTCACATCCTAATCACTTTCTAGCTAAAGAAGCTTATCCTGAATTTCCATAGTGACTGTCAAGGCCCTGAGTTTTCTCCATCCACAATTGATGATCTATTCTTTATGTCCATCCTGTCTCTATCATACGCTTGCAAATGTCTTAAAGATTTGTCACTCAGCCTTATCTCTTGTCTAAAGGTTTAAATTTATATGCGTGAAATTCATTTCTACAAACGTGCCAAGAGATATTGTGGTAATCCTCTAAATTCAGAATTGCTACTTATGTTTAGGCACTACAGAAAATTTAAAATTACGGTGCACTCTGTCACCTTGTTTGAGTTTTAACCTTAAGCAGAAAGATCTGTTCAGCAAAGTGTTTAAAATGCTGTACTTTCTCATTAAAAATAAATACAAACATGCATAGTCCCAAATTTGATTGGTCAGACCAAAGTTGCAGAGCTATGAGGAAACACTATTTAATGATGGTTGGGTGGGGAGAGGGCAATTCAGCCACCAATTCAACATTTTTTTGAAATTACTGGATAACAAACTCAAGCTTGATTGTGATGCCTCTACTGTTGAACAGCCTATCAACTTCCTCATAATTCAATGGAGAAACAGGATGGCTGCTAATTATATCACTCTTGAAAATAAACATAGCTCTGTATGATTTATAATCAACGTTTTTGTTCATTTATAATCCTTAATTCTATTATTTCCTTGATCTTGAATGTAATGAGCTGGCCATACCATTAAACAAAGGAACAGGAGGCCATTCAGCCTGCTTCATCATTCAGTTAGATCACGATTGATCATCTACCTCAATGACACCTCCCTGTACTATTCCATATCCCTTGATTTCATCAGTCTCCAAAAAATCTATCTTATCTACCGGAAAACTGTATGAATTGCCATCTTAAATAATGATTGAGCTTCCACAGTGCTTGGGTAGAGAATTCCAAAGACTCGTCACCTTCTGCGTGAAGAAATTCCTCCACATCTCTGTCTTAAATTGTCTACCCCTTTTTATGAGATTATGGCCCCTGGTTTTAGAATCAATGACAGGTGAGTAATGTTTTTTCCTGGGCTATAATGGGAGTATTATCACTGTTTCACTATTTAATGGAAAACAGTATGAAGTCTTGATGCTTGTTGATTCCAATGAATCATACTGGGCTAGTGTGACAAAACACATTGGATCAATGGTTCAGTGGAGCATTTTGTAGACTGACTGTAATGCTCTGTGGACCCCAGTCATTGCTTCTGACTTGCGTATGAACACATTTTAATGTGACACACTTCATACGTACTTAACATGTCATGCGTTTGTTTTCCATCTCCTATAACCATCTCCCCATAATTCTATGGACCTTGATTTTTACCATCATGTGTGGTACTACCATGAAATATGGGATAAAATACTTCTGAAGCTACTCTAAAAAGAGGAGACATCAATTGCATTAAACATGTGTTAGAACAATATGCAAAGGCTTATATGTGGTTCTTAACCTTTAATTGATCAAACATAGCTCTCAAAGTCAAAGTTCTACCTGTGGCATGGCTTCCTGAAGCAATAGCTGACTATGCTTAATGTTAGACAACTACCAAGTTGCCTTGTGACTTAATACAAAATCGCATCTTTGTGCAAAGAAATAATATTTCTTGGATTTTGGCCTGAACAAAATGGCTTTTATTGTGATACAAAAGTGGAAACAGGGAAACATTGTAATTTTGTTGTTAAGCATTTCTTTAGCCGTTTGATTCTTTCTGAAAGTTGCCTTAACTGACAGTGACACGCATGAAGTTCTTTCATTTATATTAAACCCCTCACCACCATTTTCCCTCCCCGGGACATTAAACTGCAATTTGACCCATGTACAATTAAAGGCAACTGTTTCTTTAATGCTATCTTAGCTCATTAATACTATCTTACCTGGTTATTCTTTGCAATTGAATATATTAATTAAGTGCAAAGTTATTACTCGTTACAATTGGATTCATTTCTCTGTCAGTCGCAATACTGTTGGATTTCTTTCGTCAACAGGGCACCTTGCAGCAGAATTATGAGTCATGGAACTATGAGCTACTGGAGGTTTCAGAAGAGAGGAATGAAGAGGTTGCAGCGTTCTGTCACATGCTGGATGTGTAATTATCTTTTTTATGAGACTGTTTTGCTTTATTGACCTTGAATAGCAGGGCAGAATTTCTGCTCGTGCATATATTTGTCTCTTTTTTGAGTAAATTTGTACCAGAATCGTAATAATTTGACGTTTGCACTTTTTTTTTGAAAAAAGTTGAATTGCGCAGCTATTTGGATCAAGCTAAGTAAATAAGACATCAAATTGGGAAATCAAGTGTAAACAATGATTAGAGAAGACCGAATTTAACTCTGTGTGAAGGTTTGTTGGGAAGCCAAGCAAAGAAGGGGAACACATCCATAACTAATTGTCAAATGAAATCATAATTTAATTTCAGAAGAATGTAGCTTGCTGGATGAAGAAAGGAAAAAATTGAGAAAGGTATCAAGTTTTATCATTTTGAAATACCAGAAGCAAATAAATTGGAATGGGATTTCAATGCAGTGGGGTTATGCAACAGAATAGAATGCCTTATTTAATTCTGACAGTTTTATAGAATATATCTTATTCCAAATCAATTGATCAGCTGTTGTTGATGTTCTATGAAAAGACATTTAGCTATGAGCTACTGGAACTATTGGGTGAGCACAGTATGCTTTTTCAACAAGGTCCAAATTGGAAAATAGCCTTAATCTCTTGGGTTGAAGTCTCTCTTTTTCTGGCAGTTAAAAGAATATTTTATGAATGCGATAAATAGTTAATTGAGGTAACACCGTGTGGAGCTGGAGGAACACCGCAGGCCAGGCAGCATCAGAGGAGCAGGAAAGCTGATGTTTCGGGTCAGGACCCTTCTTCAGAAATGGTTAATTGAATTCCTAGCTGATATGTTATCCTGACGTAGAGAAATTCACCCTTCATCAGAGTAATTTGTTAGTCTCTGTCTATGTGCCATAAGGATGGCTATTCAGGAAAGTGGTGATGTGCATGACGATCGATGAAGAGACTGTGGAATCTCAGCACTAATGCCTAATGGTTTGAGCTCAAAATGCTGCTGAAAATAAATAAGGGAGCAATGTAGAGTGAGAATGTGGAACAAATAGGTATAAGCAGAACTGAAATTCCACTGAGCTTGTGCCCTTTCCACGTAAACTCTTATGACCTTGTGAAGAAGGGCGATTGATCTCCCTTCTTTAAAACCCCTTGGGTCGATTGCGACAAATATTTTTATTTTTATTTTTAGCACGCAGTTATGAAACCTAATCAACTAGTTCAAAATGAAAGAGCCAATTTCAAAATTTTCTTAAGTGATAGAGAAATTTTCTTACCTATAAAATAAAATGAAAATAAACTACATTAAACACAGACTTAAATAGTTAATAAGCTTAAAAATAAGAGAGATTATCCTGTATAAAAAGACAACAAAAGCAGATGCAGCTTTAAATTCCAGGAACTGGGACTGTGAAAGCTGAGTCCACAGGAATTTACCTGTTGCCTCAGCAATAGTGAAATTTGTACAATGCTCGCAATCTCGGTGAATGTGAGATAACAAGGTGTAGAGCTGGATGAACACAGCAGGCCAAGCAGCATCAGAGGAGCAGGAAGGCTGACGTTTCGGGCCTACACCCTTCTTCAAAAATGGGGGAGGAGAAGGGGGTTCTGAAATAAATAGGGAGAGAGGGGGAGGCGGATAGAAGATGGATAGAGGAGAAGGTAGGTGGAGAGGAGACAGACAGGTCAGAGAGGCAGGGATGGAGCCAGTAAAGGTGAGTGTAGGTGGGGAGGTAGGGAGGAGGTAGGTCAGTCCAGGGAGGATGGACAGGTCAAGGGGGCGGGATGAGGTTAGTAGGTAGGAAATGGGGGTGGGGCTTGAGGTGGGAGGAGGGGATAGGTGGGAGGAAGGACAGGTTAGGGAGACGGGGACGAGCTGGGCTGGTTTTGGGATGCGGTAGGGGGAGGGGAGATTTTGAAGCTTGTGAAGTCCACATTGATACCATTGGGCTGCAGTGTTCCCAAGTGGAATATGAGTTGCTGTTCCTGCAACCTTCGGGTGGCATCGTTGTGGCACTGTAGGAGACCCAGGACGGACATGTCGCCTGAGAAATGGGAGGGGGAGTTGAAATGGTTTGCGACTGGGAGGTGCAGTTGTTTATTGCGAACCGAGCGTAGGTGTTCTGCAAAGCGGTCCCCAAGCCTCCGCTTGGTTTCCCCGATGTAGAGGAGGCCACAACGGGAACAGCGGATGCAGTATACCACATTAGCAGATGTGCAGGTGAAAAACTGCTTGATGTGGAAAGTCTTCTTGGGGCGTGGGATGGGAGTGAGGGGGGAGGTGTGGGGCAGGTGTAGCGGTTGCAGGGAAAAGTGCTGGGTGAGGTGGGGCTGGAGGGGAGTGTGGAGCAGACAAGGGAGTCACGGAGAGAGTGGTTCCTCCGAAGGGTCTGAAGAAGGGTCTTTCTGAAGAAGGGTCTCGACCCAAAACATCAGCTTTCCTGCTCCTCTGATGCTGCTTGACCTGCTGTGTTCATCCAGCTCTACACTGTGTTATCTCTGGAGGAACAACACCTCATTTTCCGATGGGGAACCTACAGCCCTCCGGACTCAATTTTGAGTTCAATAATTTTAGGGCCTAAACTCTCCCATGTCCCAGCCTCCCACCCCGCACACCAGGCCTTGTTACCACATAGCCTGCCATTACACATCCCGTGTTGTTAGTCACTAACAGTCCCCATTAACAATACTCACCCTCCCAGCCTGATCGTTAGCAACTCCTTTGTCTGTCCAACTGTCTTTCTCTCTCTTTGGGCTCTATCCTATCCTTTACTCCCTACCCCACCTACCTTCCTATTTTCTGCATATAAACTGACATTTTCCCAGCCGCCATCAGTTCTGAGGAAGGGTCACCGGACCCGAAATGTTAACTCTCGAAAGCATCTGTTTACTCTGCACGTCTTCATTGTGTAGCTGTATAGAAATCATATTTACGGAGCAAGAAGGGAGTTCAAGTGGAAACTAGAATAACTGTTCACAACAACATCAAATTTGCAATCCCTATGTAGAATTTCATATAAATGGACCATTCGGCCCAACCGGCTTATGTTGGCGTTTATGCTTCATAGATGGTTTCTTCTACTCTATTTTATTTAATCTTATGAGATGCATTTGAAAATTTGATAGCAAATTAGATTTGATATAGCTATGTTACTTCTTATAAATGAACTTCATTAAATCAACAACAGATGAGCAAGCACCAGATCGTTTCCATTATTATCTGGTCCCTTTTTACTTTTGTCAAGGAAGGTTTCCTTGTTCGCTCAGCTTGCTAAGGCAACGTCAAACTAGCGTCATATGATTTTGGTTCCAGGTTTGATTTCTGGTCTGTATTGAATTAAGTGATCTCAGCTGGTTAAGAATGAGGATGTAGCATTTAACCTCAGTTCCCTGTAGCTGTCGTTGGAGAATATGAGATAACATTCTGTCGCTCAGTCACTGTTTCATGACTCTTCTGTAAGGAAATGTAATAAGGGCCGTAATCATACTCAATTATGATGCATCATTCCAGGCAGCACTCAGTTGTCTAGGGCCACACAAGAAGACTAGTCTTTCGTGTAAAATATTGGAGAGGAACTGAGTACCCTGAAACCAGTGCCAAGGAATTCCTCAGAAACTGAAAGATCCACATTACTCACGCCAAAATTTCAAAGCTGATAGTCTAAAAGACTAAAATTGTTTCTAACATTATCTGTACATTCTGTGTTATCTGTGATTTAACTG